TGTGCTCTTGTCCTTTATGATCATATGTATACAAAAAATAGTAGATCTTAAATATATAATGTAAGCAGTATGACAAATAATTTCTTTATATTATTACTTACTGTTTAATTGTAAACTTTTCTATATGCCACGGTATTAAGGCACAAAATTTTGCATAATGAAAAAATGAACCAATCAAAGACGATTCATTTCTTCATTTCTTTTCTTTCCATGAAATAAAGAATTCTGAATGGTCGATTCTCTTATACTTTAAGTTTATTCTACAGTTGCGTGAGCGTAATTGTAACTGATTGTAATCGTAAGAATTGACCACAATCACGGTCAAATATTCCCCTCGAATTCGACTCTTGGTCTCGGTGTCTATTTTTACAGTTCCAATCACAATTACGCTTACGACTGTGTGGAATGGGCTTAAAGCGTAGTTGTACAATAAGTGAGTGATTGCAGTTGTAAGATTGAACCATAGTCGAATATGAGGAAAATATTTGATGTTATGATTGATTAATTCTTACAGCTACAACCACTTACAATTACGCTTATGCAATTGTAGAATGGGCTTAATGCATAATACATTATGCAAAAGTGTGTGCTCCGGCGCAAGTTGCGGGGGGCCGGGGGCGCCAGCGCGCACGCTACGAGCGTGAGGGCGACGAGCAACGGTGCGGAGGTGGTCGGCCCGCCGCGCCGTCCAGTCGAGCCGCGACAGTCGAGCGGTGTGTACGTTGCTTTGAAGTATCGCGCGCCCCGCGACAATCGCCGCGTTGGTCGACGGAAGAGAGAAAAAGAGAGAGAGAGGAAGAGAAAGATTTGACCAGGGCCAGAGGTACACGCGTCAGAGGTACTCACACACGTGAGCCCTTTTCTTGACACTGAGAAACGAGAAGGCAAAGCAGGTGGCGGCACGCGAGTGCCGGTTGAATCGCCGTCCACCCGCACGTGTTTTTCGGCTGTTTTTTTGTAAAATCGTCCGGCGAGAGCCAGCGTATCCCGGACATCCTGTTCAGTGCGCGCACTGACGTTACGTACGTATATATATCGGAGCACGCGACGCGGAAGACACGTGTGAACGACGTCGGTCCGTTTGTGACGATTACTCCCAAAACATTCGTCGCGCGAGACATTGTTTACGAGGCGCAGTGGCGCCGCATCTTTTCTCTCTCTTTCTCTCTCCCCTCCCCCCCTCCCCCTTCCTCCTTTCCTCGCGCCCGCGCTTTCTCCACTCGGGCGGGAAGTTACGTTCGAGACGCGAGGGTACGATGTGTCGCGCCGTTCGCAGTGTTTCACTCGGTTGACTTCGGACCCCTAAAAAGTGCTTCATGTTCTGACTCCACGATACTGTGATTCTATACGAATCAGGTGATTCTATTTGCCGAGAAAGAAGAAGACTCCGAGAAAACAGAATCTCAATCGCGTCACGAATTTCGCGTTTCGCGATAGTGCGTGAAGTGAGCGCACCAAGGAAGGAGAAACATCGAGTCGAAAATCGAATCGCGGCGGTTATATTATCGTTCGGCGCGTCCTTCACCGATACGTTTCATTGACGCGTTTCGAATCGCGCGAGAACGTTTCTTTGGCTCCCGCGGAGGCTCCTGCCAATAATTCAAATTAAAGTTACCATTTGCCACACGAGAAATTCGTATTGTAGGTCAGAAAGAAAAGACTCTCGCCTCGTCAACGTTGACGGGAAACGCACTCGTCGACGCGCTCGGTGTTACTCCGCGCGTCGCGACTTGCGTCGCGACCGGGGCCCCCGTCTAACAAGTAACAGTACTTCCTCGCGCTCGGTGGAATAAAGCCTCTTTCCGTGGAACGGGACCCACCGCGCTGAGCGCTCTCCGCCGTGCTGCGCCGGCTCCGCTCGCACCTCGCGCGCCGCGCCGCGCCGCGAACGTACACCCATCTCGCTCGCACCCGCGCGCGAACACTCGACGTCCCGTGCTATCGTCCGCGAAGTAGTCTGGCCGGTCGGGCACGAGGGAGCCTCTCGTGAAAACCAGTCCTCGCGTATATACGCGTATATACGCGTACGCGCCGGTCGCTCCATACGTTACGGACCAGAAGAGGCTGCGGTTTTGCCTTACGGCGCAAAGTGCTCCGGCTCCAACGAGCCTTCCGCACCTGCTCCGCGATATACGACTGTATACGAGGATTTTTGGCAGCCGGCAGGAGGCAGGAGGCAGGAGGAGAACGATCGAACGGTCCGGCGAGAGACGAGATCGTCGAGGGGATTAAAAGAGAGAGATCTGCGAGTTGAGGTGGGATTGACAAATCGATCGCACGAGGAGGAGCGGAAAGAAGGAAGGAAGAATCGTATCCTGCCTGCCATATTTCGTTGCTTTTTGAAACGCCCGCGGAAAATCGAGGGTGGACGATAGATGTCCGTTTCGTCGGTGCATCATTTTTCAAGGTGTTGTGACTATCTTTGTGACTCTCTCGACCACGAGTCCTATATTTCCTCGTGGAGGCTTATCCTGGTTTTTCGGAAATTCATGGTATTGTAACCTGTCTTTGTAGGTCGGAAATTTACTAAGGGAATATGGAGAAGAAGACTGTCTCAAAGGCCGACTTTTAAAATAATACAAATATTCGACAATTCGACATTGTCTTAGTCTGGAGGACAATTGAATGAAGATTAATTTATATCTTAAAACAACAAATATTCGACAATCATTATATCCGAAGACTGTGATTAGCATTTCATTATCACGAGAAACTGGCTTATCTACATTTGGAGGAAGCAGCCACAATTGAGAGAAGACGAAGATTAATTTACGCCGATTATAAAACAGCAAATATTCGACAATCATTTATCCGAGGACACTCTCTCTCTCTCTCTCTCTCTCTGTCGTCAGTAAATTTCTTATTATCGCAAAAAGCTGACTGCGTTGTCTTAATCTGAAGGTAGGAGCCATAGTTAAAAAAAGATCAATTCACGCCGATCCGAAAGCAACAAACATTCAACAATTAATTATCCCGTGGACTGTCATTAGCAACTGTCATTGTGGACTCATTATCGTCACAAGAAGATTGTATTGTCTTCGTCCGAAGGCGAAATTGGCAGGGCCACGAATTGAAAGAAGATCGGACGAGGAGCAAAACGGTTTATGCGTAAAGTTCGCGGCGACGTCGGGATATTTCGGTAGCACGCGGACTTGGACGCGGATCGAGGGCGAAGAGCGCTCGACGTTTTATCGTCGAAACGCATCGGAAAGCAGGTTAGCGATCCCATCTCGTTTGCGGGCGAGCGCGATGCTCGCGTCGGCGCGCGACGCCCGTGTCTCGCCGACCGCCGCCCGCGCCGCCGCGTGCGCGATTCCGTGGTCACCGTGCCGATTTCCGGCGGATAGAGCGAGCGAGGAAGTCGATACGGGGAGATCAACGGCCGTTCCGGAAAGGAATCTGGACTCCTGAAAAGGATCTCCCTGGGAGGCAAGAAAAGAGAGAAGTAGGAACGGAGTTACTTGGAGAATACATGGTATTTGAGGCATATTTAAAAAAAAAAAACAAAGTAATTTAACGATATCATTGTAGGAAAGTAATGCGAAATCGAGATAGGGAGTCCCCTCTATGAATATGAATTGTGGACAAACGATACACCACACGGCTTGGCTGATGTATTTTCGGAGTCTATAGTATATTCGGTGGATGCATTCACGCTTACGCGCGGATTTGGAAGGATTACGTGCAGCAACGAAGAGAAGTGCGAATGGACCTTCGCAAAATCAGAGGTTAACCGGGGAGAAAGAGGAAAAGGTGGAAGAAGATATAGGGGCCTTTCGCCGCTCGCGACCTAAGTTTCTCGGTCGCCCGCGAGTCCCACTGAGCTAATTCGCGGCGCTCTTTTACACCTCGCGATGCTCCGGTGAAGGTGTACGATCGTCAACTACTTCCGTTCATAAAGGAGAAGGTTCCTAAGCGTTCGAAAGAAAAATTATAAAATCATCCCGACGACACTCACCTTGGTCTCTCTCGCAAAGAAGACACAGGAGAGACTTAATAATTTAACTTGCATAATTTATTTGAATGCTAAGCAATAGGAAACTTGGAAAAGTCGACAGCAACGCGAAGGTGGTGACCTCCCTGTGATGTTTTAATTTTGCGACCGTTAATTTTGCGCCGTTTTTCGCGAGATGTTAATGTGATCCAAGTGCGAGGATATCTCTTCTACGTTTCGCTATAGTGTGATCTTTTCGATACTTAATAATAACCGTACAATTGTGTTCCGCGTATCGACGAACTTCTCGCCAGTGTTTTGATCCCGCGGCTGATTATCGAGTGTGACGAATCGGAGGGAAGCAGCCGTGAGCGGAGCGAAGAGGAAGGAGGCAGACAAATCTGACGGACGGTGAAAGAAGATACAATTTGGAGCGGAAGACAGGACGACCCATCGAAGATGAAGACCACACAACGAGCTCTAAGGTGAGTCTTTCTCTCTCTCTCTCTTTCTCTGCATGAAAATCCTAAAGAATAGTCCATTTATCCACGATCGTTTACCGTATTCGCGCTGCATGCTTAACGATAACAGTACGTATCGCGTACAGGCGTACCTGTTCGTAACGAAGGCCGTTGTTCTGCCGCCATAATGAGCCGCACGTGCCGTTGTAAAATACGGGAGAACCGACACGCGGCTGGATTCCGGCCTCTCACGAGTGGTGAACGCACGCTGATCTTTCATTTAGCAAGCTGTTTCGACCGATACGTTTTCCTCATTGCTTGAGATCTCTCGAAAGTCTCTTTCAAACCGCCGATTAAAGTGACCAGATTTCTAAAACTGAAAACACACGAAGGTTTTCAGGTCGAATTGCTCGGAGTTGTTCTCGCTTGAAAAAGCAAAAACGAGAAAAATATTTTTATAAACTGAAAAATTATCATTCGTGCAATTTCAGTTCGAGAAAGAAGGAAATGTAAATTTTATACAGTATTACGTATATTGTATATAAATATATAGAATTGAATAATATTTATCTTCTAGTTACGTTTGCTTCTCAGTTGAAGAATATTAAAATATGTATATTTTCTTGGCGATGTGAACACGAATAATTTATCGTGAGAGGCACACGCCTCTCTCGTGTTACGCTCTATCAACTACAGAAATCGCTTTCGATTCTTATCACATTGACTTGAAGTCTAAATGGAGAAGACAGCGTTAATAATTAACAAATCCGAGATGATTTACCAATGTTGCATGCCTGCCAATCTTATGTGCATGCGATAAGGATAATAACGTATAGCGCGTCAAGAGGTCCATTTTGATAATTATTTATTTTCGTTAAAATAAACTAGCCACGCCATAGTAATTGGCCGCCAATCAAAGTAATTACGTGCTGCTATATAGCTATAATGTTCGCGAAACGACTCGACGCCTATGGGGCTTATACATTACTTTTTGTTACTATATGTAGGACTCGGGACGCTTCTCTCTCTCTCTCTCTCTCTCTCTCACATTGCGCAAGTTAATTTAAGCACGTTTAAAACGACCGGTCGATCGCTTCGCGACTACCTTCAGCCACTTTTATATCCTGAACGTTTATTTCGCCGTATATCTCACCGTCGATCATTTTGCTTTTCCTCGGCGACGATACCATCATAGAGAGATACAAATGTCGATCGTTCATAAAGCAAACGCCAATGACGATAAAGCGTAGTTTAATAACTTAGATGTGCCAATGATAATAATCTTATATCCTTGTGAGAATCATAATTTATCGTGAAAAATAGGGTGCGGTTAGAATAAAAATTTTGAAGTTGCTGGAAAGAGAGAAATATATACAACATATAGGTATTTATATGATTAATGAGTTAATCATTGCACACGGATTTTCATAAATGGAATATACACATATCGAGGTATAGAGAGCAATGTCATTCATTTCCGAGTAATTATCTGACAAATTAATATTTTTATTTTGATAAACGTTTAATATCGACTTGTATTATTCGAACACATCATCTTCGCTGAGTATGACAAGCACATTTAAATCCTCGATGCTAAACTACGAATCTTCTGAGAAATAGTATTTCGTTTTTAGAAAATTTAATATTATTATTTATGAAGAGATTTGCAGTAAAGCCGAATATTTAACTTTTACAAAGTTGACACTTTACTTAAAAATTTTTTTGAATATTGATGTAAATATAATTCGTAGAATTTTAGTTCCATCAGGCGTTTTAAAAAGTTAAAAAGAATTAGGCGATTAAGTGTGAAAAATGATCGTCTAAATAATAATAAATAAATATAAAATTGATATTTTTTCACATCTTATAGATATATTTATGTTGAACGAAAATTAGCGATAATTTTTTTATTTCAATAAGAATCAATATAAATTATGATAATTATGATAGAAATTTTGAGACGTTATTTAGAATTCAAAAGAAAATGAGAAATTTTTGGAATTTTTTTGTAATCTGTGGAAACTTGGGAATTTTTTTGATAAACAAAAAAATCATTGGAAATATTGGTTTTTATTTCGAATAATGCTAATCAGAGAAATTTTTTTGAAACTTATCAGTAACTTGTTAGATTTTATTATTAATGAATTAGAATTTTAAGTTATCAATATCTTGAAAATAATGGATGAAATTCAGATTATTTAGCTAAAACAGATCTTATTACGAAATGTTCTTTTTTATTTAATTATGTATCACGTTGAAATTGCATATAAATGCACACCGTTTGATGACATACCTACAATGTTGTTATTAATAAACATAATACCATACCAAATATAACCTTGCAATACCAAGGCTATTATTTAACGCTACGTCGGCGAAATTCAATGCGGATCAGGATCAGGTCTGCGTAAATTTGGCGAGTTCAGCTTTTATTGTTGCAAATACTAAACAATCATTTCTCTATGTACTCATTAAAACGGAAATATGATTAACGTACTTATGAATATCGAAAATTGAATTTACTAATACAATAATTTTGTTGTAAATATCAGAATATTAATAAGAATTAACGATAGAATTATTGAGTTATCGTAATACTTTTCAAATATTTAATATGGATACTTTTCTTGACAATATTCATTTGTCTAATATGACGTAAATACATTTGAAATTTTTATTATTTCCCACAGTAACAATTACATGATAATAATTAATGTCATAATTTTATTAACAATAAAATGTAAAAAATAATATATTACATATAATAATATTTAATATAATAAAAATATGTAATGTAAATAAAAGTATAATAGCATCAAAATTCTATGTGCATCTTTATTAAGAATTGCACAGGGAGAGGACAAAAACTTAACAGTAATGGTATAACCAACATATTCTATCTTAATATATATAATCCAACAAAATTATTTTCAGATCTATATTTAACTAAATTTTTAGATACTTCAATAAAATCTAAAATTTTTTCCGTATACAATATATCTGTTTTCATCTTGTATTTAGGCAATATTTGGATAATATTATATAACTTTTAGCCAATGATTTATCTTTCGCAATTGCAATTTCTCATATTTCTATCCGTCGACACTTTGATTCTGGTTCTCGATGAGATTCGTCGGATACAATTCGGCTAAAAAGTAGCGATCGAGAATTGCCAGAGCGTGAAGCACGGATACGATACGACGCCCCTGCGGGCTAGTAGTGTGTATATGTATATACATACGTATAGATGTAAATGTTACGCTTCCCCGCTCCGCTGTCGGTGGCTTTGCATCGAAAATGTCAGGTGGCGGATGACAACTCCGGCTTCAACACGACTCGACTCGATCGTTCTCGTTCTCTCTTTGACTCGCGGCTGCAACACGCGGGACATCTGCGGCAAATTGAAATGCTAATTTGAAAGGCACCCCTGGTTTTCTCCTTCGTCGAATAAATTCTGCCTCTATTTTTTTGTAAATATTTGCCAGCGCGAGAAAGAAGACGGATTTTTCCAAGCGCGACATACGACCGATAGGCTACCGATATTTTGCGGTCAATACCATAAAAGCCGTGTGGTTTGCATCAGATCGGAAATCTATATTTGAGTGAAATGAAACAGTTTATTATTATTCTCTTCGCAATATTTGTATATAATGCTCCGTTTTGATGCTCTGAGTCATGTTTTTACACAAATGAATTGGTTATTTGAAAAAATTTCAATGCTTATTATGATTTTATGAAGATTTTGTTTTAATTTTTTTACCGTATTGTTTTAGATAGAAATCCCATATATATATATGTACATATATATATATGTACATGGATGTGTGTGTGTGTGTGTGTGTGT